ATATATATATATATATAAATAGCAAAATAGATAAAACCGAGACCTGTATATTGTAAGCTGCGCGACAAATGTGACAAAACGTGTAGTGTATAGTGAAGAAGATAAAATATCTGCAAGTTTTAATTTATCATGATGAGTACGCTGACGATAAATGATTAATTATTAATAAATTACTGTATTTTATAATCGCACGATTTTTTTATGAAAACATCCGTGTCTCCCATTTATCCATGTAACCTTTGATTCATCTCTATCACGCAGTTAAATATATGATGTAATTTGTAGCATAAATTCATGTATACAATACTCTGAAAACATCAAAAAATGCTTCGTGCTTTTGTAAATTGTAAATAATTGTAAATAATCTTTTTTGTCGCATTTTTATCAAAAACATCCCTTTACAGAAGTTTAATGTTGAAAAGTAGTGATTAATAATTTATTTTGAGTATTAGAAATATTATTCTTCAGCGCATTTAATACTCAAAATAAGTAATTTTCAGTATTAAATTGGATTTCTATAAGGAACACAGTAGACATTATGTCACTATATTTATTATGTGAATTACGAAAAAAGTAGCAATACGAATATATTACATGTGTTAATACATTTCGTAATTATTATATTTACGAAGAGAAAAATACCAATAAGAGCCAACACCGAGTGACAGCGTATAAATTATTTATTAAGAAAAAATTTATTAAGAAGAAATTATTAGATTTATTTATCAAAGCCGATAACTTAATTTGCTTCTTATTATTATTATATTTACGTTTCTGAAATATTTAAATTACGCTCGTACAACTATATCTCCGTTTCTTTGACATTTTACTTTCAATATTTATTTATTAATCTTAAAAATTGCGCTGTTATCTCTTTTTACGAGGAATAAAAAAGGTCATATATCACTGCTTCTATTAAAAAATACATTTTATCTCTAATTTAATTATCGACGCGAAGTTCAAGTAATCGAACAATATATGTCATATGATAAAGCGCGCAGCTTTATCGTTCTGTCGCGTGCTGCATTCTAACGGACGACCAGCGAATTTTCAACCAACGCTCGCTCGGCATTGCAACGTAATGTACGGATTTCCGATTATCGATCTGATGACGGTGCATACGAAATACGGGTATTATATGTCTCAGCGACTTTTTATTCCCAACATTCCCATCGACGTTTCTTTACGGATACAAAATCCCGCATTTCACCTTGGAACGAATGTGAAATAGTTGGCATATCTCGCGATAGGAATCCGCTCATCCAAATGAGCATATCCGAGTTAAAGAATTGTTCCGCAATAAGATGCAAACAGGAAATCTCTCTTCTCCCACGCAAATTTGCCGCACAAATTTCTTTGTTCTCTTCTCGCCCCGAAATTGAACTCACACCACACAGTGGACTTTTGCGCGAAGAATATTTATTCATTTCAGCTTTATTAGATTCTGGAGAACACTCCTGGACTTGCGAGAATCTCAAGTATTTTTGGCCGCCACCTTGACATAGCTCTCGACTACACGTGGCATGAAGTTAAATCGTGATAAATCACGAAAGTGATTCTACGCAAAATACAATAAATATTTTATTTTTAGCTTAACTGGCCGTAATTTATTAAAACTAACGAGAGTGCTTTCCATTTAGGCCCAGTTCTACAAATGTAAAATTAATTTTTTCATTTAATTAGTAAAATTCAGTTTAACTTATTCTTGATCTTTTTCTAATTTTACGAGTTAGAACTTATGTCCATTTCTACTAATAGATTAAGTTCTTTTCGGATCAATTTGCTAAACATTTTTTGTAAAATAAAATAATTAAAAATTCGAAATAGTTAAACAAAAATGATTTAAAAAAAAAATTAGTTTAAAATAATAAAAAAAATCAATTTTTCGTAAAATAGATCGGAAATTAAAAATCGCTATTGTTATTTGGAATGAACTATCTTTTAGAGATCGGAATATTCCTAGTACAACTTGTTTTTCATCTTTTTTAATTCTTAAAAAAAAAAAAGAAAAGTTACTTGAACCGAGATTAAACCCAGACATAAAATAAAAAATATTTAAAATCAAGTTATAAGACTTTTTTGCGTCTAAAAGATGACTAAAGGCGTCTTATGTCATAATTTTAAATTTTGTATTGTTTGGGAATACTAAACTATATTTATAGAAACGAGCATAAGTAACATAAGTAGACACAAGTGTTCTGTCTTTGTTTAGCATTTAATGAGTAACAAAGATTGAACATTTGTGTCATCAAATGGTAAACAGCGAAATGGTAACAGGAAAGCGGAAATACACGGAGAAAAAGAGACTTTAAGCTTCTACACATTACCTTGCTGTTCGCTTGAATTAATAGCTGTTAATGAAGCTGCATTTTGTAGTTTTTGCTTTCATCTTGGTTCTCCATTCCAAGCGAAGCAAAAAAAAAGATTTATATTTATTATTATTATCATACATAATAACAATAATAATAAATGTAAGGGCGAATAATTTTACGAAAATTCTTGTAAGACTACTTCTGTTCCTTCACTTGCTGGTTTAGCCTACTAGACTATTCATTCATTTATTTCAGATACAATTCTAAAATGTTACATAGAGCTCTCGATAATCAAAATAATATTACAATAAAACCAGAAAAATTAAAGCTAAAAACACGGTTATCTGTTAAATAAATTTTTTTCCTTTCTATTTATTCATACAAAATACAATAGTTGATCAACTTATTTTCATTTATTAACATAACCAATTGTTATACAGAAATAGAAGAATAATCCTCTTTGTATGAAACGAAAAAACAAATGACTTCAATAAAATGAAAATATTCCAAGTAAAATCATTTATAAATACATTCACAAATTTATCGTTTTATTTGAGTAAAATCATCAGTTATTTGAAAGATCTTTTTAAAATTAAAAGAAACTTTCAAATGAAAGATAACGCTATTTAAATGATATATGTGCCGTTTTCTTGCTCGTGAGGGAGGTGCAAAACGGATCAAAATTACGCGGACTCTAGAAAATATGGACGTGAATTTAACATCATGCTGACATTTATATAATTCTCATCTTGATGTAGATATGAAATATTAAAATTTAACACCACATAATATTAAATTCCAAGGAACACACCAAACCAAAAGAAAGTCAAAATGACATTATTTTAACGTCATGATAATCAAAATGATGATTTTTAATTAGCAAATTTGATTGACGTTAAAAACGTAAGAGTTATACAGTTTAATACCTATGATATTAAATTTTTATATATTTTTAGAGTGAGAGGGAAGAAAATGTGCACCTTTTTGCGACATACGTACCGCTCAATATTTAAAATTATCCGCACAATACTTTATCTAATGGACGTTCTGAGACCGTCCTTTAGACGTCATCTAAACATTTTTAGGATGTCCTTTGAAGGTTTTACTGCATGGGTAAATATCGACATCATCAAATACTCTATTATAAATATATCTCCGCGTCTACAGATAGACAACATCGCGATAGGTGCATCATACGCGATCATACGCCTGCGCGCGAAGCCGCCCTCGGTTTCCCTGAAGGCTCAACAAAGCCGATTTTCTCGCGTCTCAGTCGCGGACAGGGAAGCAGCGCGCGTACGTAGTCGGGGCGTCGCGACGCTTCGTAGTGATCGCGTTAGTATGAGAGCGTCGAGTGAGCACGACAGATCGGTCTCGGGATCGTGGTCCCGGCACCCTCGATGAGTCGCGAGAATCATTGTACAGTTGGACCACGCGTTGAGCATCCCGTGCGTGAGATCGAGCATAATAGAGACACGTGTGCTTCTCACGACGTGCACGACGTATAGCGATTTTTCACGCGTATTAAAAAAAAAGAAGATAAGAGATAGATAAATGGATTGATAACGAAATTCGTGATAAGTGCTTTCCTTGGGTAGTCTAGATTCTGGACGATGCTCAAACTGTACTCGCGTGTAACAGACGCTCCACCGTGAAAGGCCCATATAGTACACTTCATCTCAGAGATTTCCCTGGGAACGTTCTTAGGATGTTGGGACGTTTGTAGGATGTCCTTCAGAACGTCCCTTAGAGATCTGTGCTATATGGGGAAGAATGATGAACGTGTTGCGAATGAAACTGCGACGTATTACAAGAGAGGAACAACTGCGTAGGTCTGAGTGCGCGTTTGTGAGTGTATGTGAGATTGGTTTTGAGATTATTTTTCCGCGTGCGTATCTTCGTTTCCTCGCTTCGCGGATCCCCCGAGGATGCGCGAGCCCCAGTAGTAGTACCGGCCTAAATCTCCTACGTAGGTAATCATGTCCGCGTAAGAAATCCGCATGGCATCGCGACGTAGATTCTAAGAACTTTATTCTGTATCAACTCGATAAAACTTGGTGAACCATCGTTCCCGTCGCGTGACAGAAGAAATTGCCGCGATTTTCCAACTCCGCGGACTCTTCAACAGGTGGCCGAAATCGATGTCGCACGTGTACAAGCGTACGTGATCTTTCACGGTACATCACTTTTCATGATACATCCCTTTTCTTTTTATTTCCTTTATTTACTGTTTTTTGGTTTAATCTTCTTAGAACCTCTAAGCTATAGATGTGAAAGTTGGGAGGAGAGGAGAGAATTTTAAAAAGAGATTTATTCAAATGCTTTCGGAGCATCTCTTCTTTCGCACATAATTCTTTTGGAGTTATTTCTCTTTTTTTTTTTACAGCAACGTCGTAATTACTTGCAAGATTATTATAAATATTAAATTATCATTTATTAGTTTAGCATTAATTAAAATTTTACATTGTTATATATAAAAAATAAAAGTAAAAAGTTTACATTATTACATATAATAAACTTGTCATCTAATTATTAAATTATAGAGAGACATAATATAATAACCGAAAAATTTTTAATGTTTGCTAAATCATCAACAAGAAATTATTTGATTATTAAAAAATTGAAGATATATATATACTAATATTATATATAGAAATGCAAAATTACGATATATTATAAATCATAATTACAATATATCGTAATATTATACTTAAGGTTCAAGTATACCTATATTTAAATTTGTATTTAAAAATTATTCCTTGTTCTTATTTATTGAAATACATGATTTAATCAAATTTAATTCAATTATCAACGGATTTACTAACTCACGCTACATCAATCACATCGATAATTTATGTTTAAAGTGGACAAATTTTTTAACAAATGCTCCTCTCTCTAAACCTCCCGTAATAATTTCTCGATATTCTCTCGAGACTAGTTCACATCGAATTCATTAAAATATCTACCATAGTCGCTAAAATCGGTGTCCATCAACGGTGTAGCACGTAATGAGATTCTATTAATCTTCAATAAATACGCATCGCGTATCTAACGAGTGGAAAACTGTTTTCGCTCAGTGTAATTTACGATCCTTTAACCGCGCGTAAGCAAATCCGCACGCGGCAGCCGTTAAAAAATATCAGTAAAATTGTCGTATCGTTCTTTGACGACATTATTATTCAACATCCAAGAAGGAAAAAAAGAGAAAGAAAAAAGAGAACGCAGAGCTGTGTCAAAATACACGCGTCCTATTTCCGATTCTTAATGACAAAACAATCTTGAGGAGTGCTGGAACCTAACGAGTTCTGTCAAGCTTTTTAAATAGCCTCTCTCTCTCTCTCTCTCTCTCTCTCTCTCTCTCTTCACTTCCAAGACTCGTGAAGCACGATGTGGCCGGTATTGTCGACCGAAAACTTTCCGAAACGCTTGTTTGATGGCGATGACGACACCACCAAACTTTGTTGACGGTTTTGCCCACATCGACCAGGTCATAATCGGTGCTCTTAATTGCTCTCCAATGTCTTGTTTCAGCGAGAGAAACGACCGTCGTTTCCCAGAGAGTTTGAAAGTTTTGTCGCGAAACATATTAATTGCTTGACTGTCGTCGCCATTCGCTCCGAGTATAACGTGAACGCCCAACGAATGATGTGCATTCGACGTTTCTATTAATACATCGACAAGCATATAATATTCACATACCCGTATTTATAAATAGTCAAAGAAATTTTTAATACAAATGACTTTGGACAATTGAGTATTTCTCTATTGTGAATTGTTGAAAAGAACAGCGTAAAGCTATTATATTAGATTGAGTAAAAAGTCATCGCGTATTTTTTAGCTCAAAGTTGTATATACAATATCTTCGTCAATAATGAATGAAATTCAAATTTAAAAAAAGGGTTTTAAAGCTTGAAATCTCTACTTTTAAAAGCTTATCACATTTTTTAAGTTTATATGAGTTTGATAATTTTTACATACCAAAAACTACGAGCTGAAAAAGACGAAAAATTTTCTTCTCACTTTGTGGATTTGTAACGTGTCCAAAACGAATTTGAGAAAATTTTCGATTACCTATCGTGAAAGCTTGATACTTTCCCTACAAAATCGTTTTTTTTTAATATTCCTACGACTTTTGATTACTGAGTTATCGCGGATTAAATAAAAGAATTATTTTGACTTTAATTGCTCATAACTCCATTAAAAATTGTCGTATCGTATAATTTAAAAAAGAGATTTTTAAAGCTGAAACTTTACTCTATTAAGATATATTTATATTGTTGGTAAGAAAGTAATTGCGGTTTTTACTGATAGATGTCTTTTAAAAAAACGCGATGACTTTTTTACTTAACCTAATATTATAATTTAGGAGCAAGAATGAAATATACAACGACCCTTTGGCTTTTCAATAGCATTCCCGTTTGTCTGCCTGTACTCTGCTCTTTAATTAAACATTTATTCATTGCTACCTTGTAAATTAATAAACAAAACAATTGGTGTTAATCTCTAAATTCATCGTCATTTATTTACGACATTGGCTATTTTCTGTTTCAACGTGAATTCTGTTTGAAAAATGGTCTTATCGTGAAAATGCAAAAAGAAGATATTTTTAACTTCGGATACTAAAAAACGGATGAAGCGAATTTCAAGATTCTATAATTAAAAATGATGATATAAAAGTGATATAAAAAAATAATTAAATATTCAATAAGAGATAACGATAAAAGCACGGTACTCTTCATTAATCTATCTTTAAACTGTCAGAGAGTTAAATTTAAATTAAATCGTGCTTAAAGGATTATCTCGGTGGAAGTCGAGCAAGAGTTGCAAAGCTTGCATACGCGAGTGTAATCGATGCCCTCAAACAGTTGGCCCTGCAAGGATACCGCGGCATGAAACTCGAGTTAATCTCCTTATCTGAGGCTATAACTCGCTTATCAGAACCTTCCGACGCCTGAACGTCCGCACAGGATAACAGCAGTGCTGTTAACGTTAATGAGCGAGGAGCTCCGTGAGAAATTAATTCACTTCTCGTGATCGACGAAGTATACCTCGTTTCGATTTTCTTCCGGATAATTCCCACCGTCGAATTGCATTACCGGATCGACCTCTTCCGCCTCGCATTCGTTCTGGGAGATGGGCCATCAGCGAATTCATCCGCGTCAGCGTATCACTGACGCATGATCGATTCGACGGGATAGCAACAAAGAAAGTGAGAGAAAAAGGAGGAAGAAGAAGAGGAGATGTGTAACCATGAATAACCGAACTAGCACTCTTCAAAATGCATCGTGAATAATGGTACAACGCAAATAACACGTCGTCGGTAATATATATATAATAGTCACCATGCAGAACTCGTCAGCGCGCAACTATAGCTACGTGTCGGAGGACATAACGTCGAATTTGTCGGTGCAAATAATATTCTGCTTATTCTACATCATTATCTTCGTGCTGGGCATATTCGGTAACGTGCTGGTAGTCTTCGTCGTCGGTCGAAATCGCCAGATGCACACCGTCACCAATCTCTTCATCACGAATCTAGCGCTCAGCGACGTGCTGCTATGCGTACTGGCCGTGCCCTTTACTCCTTTATACACCTTTTTGAGCGGTTGGATCTTCGGTAAGACCCTCTGCCATCTGGTGCCCTACTCCCAGGGCGTCAGCGTATACATCAGCACGCTCACGCTGACAAGCATAGCCGTCGATCGGTTCCTAGTGATCATCTATCCGTTTCATCCGCGCATGAAGATTAAGATGTGCTTAGCGATCATCGTGAGTATCTGGGTGATCGCGTTGTTACTTACCTTACCATATGGGCTTTACATGCAGTTAGAGGAGACGTACACTTCTTTCTGCGAGGAGAATTGGCCCAGTGAGCCATTTCGCAAGGTCTTCAGTTCGCTCACATCGATACTGCAGTTTGTCGTGCCGTTCTTTGTAATCTCCTTTTGCTACATATGCGTGTCGATTAAGCTGAACGATCGGGCGCGTGCCAAACCCGGCACCAAGACCACCAAGCGTGAAGAAGCGGATCGCGAGAGGAAACGCCGGACTAATCGGATGCTGATCGCCATGGTTGCCATATTCGGTGTGTCCTGGTTGCCGCTCAATATTGTCAACGTCGTCGATGATTTCTACTCGTACGCCAACGACTGGTCCTACTACAAATTCTGCTTTTTCATGTCGCACTGCATCGCCATGAGCAGCACCTGTTACAATCCGTTCCTCTACGCCTGGCTCAACGACAACTTCCGCAAGGAATTCAAGCAGGTGTGTATATACAGCGAGCTATAACTTTTACTTCTCTGAGTATCACATCACGAAGATTAAGGCTAAATTAGATATGAATAGGTTTTATATAATTGAATATCAAATCAGATATTCTCTTTCATATGAAAAACGGAGGGCACTTGGAGCATCTCCTGTAAATAATAAACATCCACTTCGAACTTTTAAATAAAGTAGTATCATGACTGGATATTACTGTATTCATATCCATTAACATTAATGAATCTCATATCACAAGGACCAACGCTAAAGTGGATTTTGCGGAGCTTATATCGGAAAAATCCATCTATTTCGCTGCTTCCCATTCATCTGCGAGATATACACGAGCAAGCAGATCATTTTTAATGCAGTCGGAGAGCACATATATGTAATACTTTTATACAGGGTGAATTATAAACGTTTTAAAATTTTATGAACGTATTCGTGCAAAGGAAGAACAAATGCATCCAATATGAACGTTAGATTATAAATACTTCGTTATCAAAATAATGGACACAAATACAGTATCAAATAAACTTTATTTAAAAGTTTCATGTGGATATTTTTGTTGTACATACAAGCGCGCATAATAAATTATGTAATGATTTGTTTCTGAGAAAAACACGCATAATTTTTTGATCTTTTTTTAAAAAGATAAATTTGTTATGATTTTTTATACACGAAAGAAATAATCTTTTTATGCAATTTTACTCAATAATTATTTCACATCTATTTGTATTCATTATTTCGATAACAAAGCATTTGTGACCTGAAGTTTATACAAATATTTGCTCTTTTTTTTGTCCAAAAACACGCGAAATTTATTTATTATAAAAACATATTTATAACTCACCCTGTATACTTAATAAAATCCCCCTTCACGAAATCGTACAGCTACAGAAATGATGCGTTAAAAATTGTATCTCTCGACGTTTTCGAAGTAAGTGAATTCTCGAAAACGCAAAGCTCTCAGCAATTTAAATTTCTATTTAAAAATTTTCCAGCTTTTTAAATTTCTACTTAGGCAAGGAATTTAGGTAATATTTTTACAAAAAAAAAAAAATAAAGTTCGTTCCAATGTATTTTACATAATATATCTCTTTTAATTACGAATAATATAACTTTACATCGCTATACATTTAATGCATCTAGAATTACCTACATGCAATTTCTAAGGAGCGTGCAAGGATGCACTTTAAATAATTAGGGCACAGAACTGTTTATGTCGAAGGAGCAAGAATCTGATGTATTATGTTCTCAATTGCAACACGTTGAGGAGAATTCTATCACGCCGAAATTAATTTGTAGCAGAGCTATTTCTTCCCTTCGAGTCTACATATTCGTGAAATGAGGAAACGTGTTTAGGACATCAATGTGCACCAGTAAGATAGTCGCGTATAAACGAGATACGCATAAACGTGTTTTGTCGGATGCCTTATTGAATGCCATACAACTTGCATTGAATAAGGGTATTCAATCGATTCAAAGATGCGAGTATTGGCGGTTTCGAGTATGGTCGCATTTACCGAGGCAAGAATTTATGGTAAAAGAATAACTTTTACGCTCTTTTTTCTCGCGAAAAGACTTTCCTTCAGCTACTTGCGAATTCATAAAATAGAAAAAGAATTTACACGATAAGAACGTTACTTTGCGATATTTTTTCGTTTTCTAATATTCTATCGAAAAATATGTGTCGGATTTTGCATGACGCTTATTTCTGTTATTTCTTCTCCCTTTTCATTGTATTGCTCTTTCTATTTATTTTTCTCTTTGTATATTTATTTTGTTATAAAAACGGAAGAGATAGTATCACTTAATGTGATCTATTGTTTATTGTAACATTCACCTTTTAATAAAAGTAATTAAAAGAAATAAATTGTAATAAATTGGATTTTGCAACGTAATTTTGCTCATGGAAAATGCTTTGATATTAATGAGACTTGAGTATCGTGCGAAAGTCGAGTCACGAGCATTTCTTCGCGTTCGTCAAGTTTGATTAATTTTTCTCGATCTGTATTGAATTAATTTTTAATTATTCACATCTTCTACAACTTGATTACGCCCTTTCATCAATTTCCAACCTTAAGTTTCGCAGTAATAAAATGTGGTTAACGATTGTCCCATAACGGCGCTCTCATAAACTGCAATTACGGAATCGATTAATAATTTCGTTTAGGTGTAAAATTAATTTAAATGTACCACATCTTGAGGGATATCGTTAAATCCATTAAATAATAGTTATCGCTAAAGGATACTATATAAAATTAAATATATCGCTCTTATATATCGTTGAGCTAATAAAATTGATAACAAAAAACCAAACTAACTTTTTAGAGATATTATTTCAATTACTTGTAAATATATAATATGCCTGATTGATTATAATATAAATGTGTAACATAAATATATATATGCAATTTGATATAATCTTTATAGAAATCTACTATAGTCACTTCAATGCTAGTTAAAATATTAAAAGATAGTAATTAATTACTATTTTAAATATTACAAACACCGTTGTTTGGTGCTTTAAGTACTCCAAATAAGTAATTAATTACCTACTTTGAGTATTAAATTGGCCAATATTAAATTAGTCAGTATTATATAAGGTATTATAAAAATAATAAATCATGTTTCAAAAAAATGCATCGTTTATTAAATATTGTGAGAGAGAGAGAGAGAGAGAGAGAGAGAGAGAGAGAGAGAGAGTGAGTGAGTGAGTGAGTGAGTGAGTGAGTGAGTGAGTGAGTGAGTGAGTGAGTAAGTGAATGAGTGACAAATCTCGTACTAAAAAATGAATTAAAAATATAAATTTTCAAAGGTCCTACCGTGTTATTCAAGAAACTCCAACAGTAACACTCCGAAAATCAAGAAGAGTTGCAGAGACGAGAAGATTTGTAACGGTAATAACACTTTGCAAGAGACCCTATTGCCCAGTAATACGAAAATGCCGAATCCCGAGGGATGCGAGATGATCATTCTGGAGCAGATGACGAACATCTCAAAGGAGTTGGATCAGCCTACGAGTTCCTCAAAGGATTTTGACGACGCAACTCTATAAGAGAAAGGTATGCAAATACATTTCGTTATATAAAGACATGTTATACGGGATAAACGTCAACTATTATAATGGAGATGTCACCATAGTAGGAGAGCAATTCGATCATTCACTGTCGAGTTGGTGACAGTATTTTAACAATTTGAGTACCTGCTAAGGTACTCAATTTTCCCTTTGCCAAATTTTCTTCTATTGTTTAAACAGCCGCGTTGTAACGCTCAAATTAAAAAGCACTTTTTCCTCACACAGCGATTAAATAATTATTTTTTTATAAATAGCTTTCTACATGTCACGTCTAATGTACCAGAAAATATGTATATAAATGAATGTTTGGAAGCGCAAACATTAACGCTTTCCGTGTCACTGATGATCCGCGCTGGACATTCCATTCAGATCACTTGATATTTTGGCTATAAAAAGAAATATAATTATATAAATTATATATAATATAATATA